CTTGGTGCATACTGAACGATATCCCCGGCATTGTCTTAACTTCCTGTAGGGGACTTTTCCATTGCTCGTATATAGAAACAAGAAAGAGTGATTAAACATCACCCAAACTGCCTTTATTATCTCAGTCAAAATCATGTGGATTTATTCATCCTTATGTTAATGTAATATGTAATTGCTATTCATTTAATGCTAATCCATCATTGAAATTATGGGATAAATTCCACCTGCTCATAATATATAATTCTAGTAACCTGTGTTTAGATTTGGCTTCCTATTATTTTTGTTGAGAATATTTACGTTTCTAGTCACACAGGATATTCATCTGTAGTTTTCTTGTGATACATTATTATGGTTTGGGTTTCAGGGTGCAACTGACACCATATGACTTTGGATATATTATTTTTTCTATTGTTTTCCTTCTGGAAGATTGCTATAATTCTACTTTAAATGTTCTGTAAAATACCACCAGACAAGGGTGATCCTCAACCTTTAATTAAATAAACTGCTGTGGACTTAAGATTCTATTTCTTCTTGAGTCAGTTTGAGCTATTTGTAGTTAGTTGTAGGAATTTGTTCATTTTGTCTAGATTATCTTATTCACTGATATATTAAACAATTGTAATATAATTTTTCCTAAAAATCCTTTTCTACTTTTTATTGCTTATATTTGTATTGTTTTATTTAGGAAGACTTTGCCTAACATCAAGATAAGATTTATTCCTATATTTACTTTAAGATGATCTATCTTCCTTCCTTCCTTCCTTCCTTCCTTCCTTCCTTCCTTCCTTCCTTCCTTCCTTCCTTCCTTCCCTCCCTCCCTCCCTCCCTCCCTCCTTCCTTCCCTCCTTCTTCATTCCTTTCTTCTCTTTTTATTCTCCTCCTCTTCCCTCTTGCTCTGCCATCTCTTCTTTTGCTTCTTTCTGTGACTTTCATAGCTTTAGCTCTCACATCAATGTCTATGATATTCTCGACCCACTAAAATTTTATAAGAAGTGAGAGAATTGTTGGGGTCATTATATGTTCATTGATACATATTCAATTATTCTTTTTGTCATTTTTATCACAATATGGTTTTGATGTACATTAGTTCTCAAATTTGATGTAGAATTTAGCACCAGGGCTAGGGTGTTTCAGGGAAAACTTCAATTTTATGTCATACTGACATCATCCTGGGACTTCACACCTAAACTACAGGGCAGAGCTTGTCATTGTATTCTTGTAGCCATTTAGATTGTTCTATACTACTGTCTACCTGCTTGAAAGTCATTGAACTTGTGGTAATTGAGATGAGCTGGGGCCTAGGATGCTGACAGCAAAACATGTACCTTGTTCTCCTCTCTCATCCCATTTCTCTCATGACTCTTCCCTCAACTTTCCAAAGTTGTTTCAAATAACCTGGGAGATCACCTGAGATTCTACATGTGGTGGTCGTCATGGTAAAAGTAGACAGGAAGAAGAGATGAAGAGAAATAAAGATGTACTTGTCAGGAGGTGAGGAGGAAGAAGGAGGGAAGCCAGAAATGACTTAGGAATGAACTTTGCTGAGAACAGAGACAGAGATGAATCTTAGGAGAGAAACAGCTGGCTATGACTACATTCAAGTTGGAGAAAAGTCAGAGAGGCAGGGTAGTAAAGAGACAGCACTTAGAGCAGGGAAGTAATGTTATTATGTTTCAACAAAATAAAGTTAATTATAGCATTCCAATAAAAGGTAAAAATGATTATTATTTTGATGTATTTCATTTCACTACTATTTCTATACATATTGTCTAACATACATAACAATTATCCTTGCGGGGAAAGGATGTGTTTCAGTTGCATCATCCAAAGTTGACTCTCGGGGGAAGAGGGTAGAGTTGAAGGGTTGCAGGCCGTGGACCAATATAGAAACAGGTCCAAATCTTTTGGGTTCTATGTATAGGTATCTTGTGTACTCTATAAAATAACATTATTTCCTTCCATTTCTTTCTCATTCTCCAACTTTTCATATGTCCCCGCCTCAAATCCATGGTCTCCTCTTTAATTGTCATTGTTACATATATATACACACATATATTAATAAAACCTACTCTTCAGTGTCGGTTGCATAGATATTATTTCAGTGCTGACCACTTGGTATTGGATAACCAATTAGGGGGCTCCTCCCTGGGAGAAAAGTTTCTTTTTATCTAATAAAAGACTACTTTTATTGTAGAAAACAAAAATTTAGTTATAATTTTCAAGAGGCCCAAAATAAATATTCTACAGTGGCAAGAATGATATACAGATACATATGACACTATAGATTGATTTCACAAGAAAAATTTTGAGCAAAATGAGCCAGATGCAAAAGAATACACAGCATATCAATCAGTTTTTGCAAAGTGCAAAAGAAAGCAAAGCTAATCTATATTATTAGTGATTGAGATAATGGTAACTTTGCAGGGGAGGCAGGTAGTAACTTTTACAACTGGCTCCTTTTTTTTTTTTATCACCGTTACATTTATGAAATTAAATTCACTATGTGTGTGGATGGAATTGTGTTCGAAAAGGGCATGAAGGGCCCCCAGGACATGGCAATGTTCTGGGTGGTAGGTGTACTCCTTTCATGAAAATTTATTGCTCTTCTGAGTGTATTCTTTTCTAAATGAATGTTGTGTACAATACAAATTTAAAATACAATGGAGCTGGGTGTGTTTGGTGCACAACTTTACTCAGCACTCACAAGGCAGAGACAAGTGGATCTCTGTGAGTTCAGGGTCATCTTGGTCTACATAGCAAGTTCAAGGCCAGCTAGGCATACCTAGAGAGAGGCCTTGTCTACACACACACACACACACACACACACACACACACACACACACACACACACTAATCATGATGGACATATATAATATATGATAGAGGATATATGTGTACATATACATACATATACATTTAGATTATCTTTGCTTGCTTTTACATTTTATAAAAGTTAAGTTATTTGCAGTGCGTTCTTTTGCATCTGGGCTCCTTTTGCTCAACATTGTGCTTGTGAAACCCATTATAGTGTCACATGTATTTGTAGATAACTCTTTTCACTGTAGAATATCCACTTTGGGCCTCTTGGAAAATGTTATACAATTAAATTTTATTTTTCACTATGAACGTATTGTGTGTAATAATGTACCAAAATGCAGATCATCATCAGTGCCCTTATCTGAGGCAGGCTTCAGAACAAAAGGATTTTTTATTTTAGGCCACAAGATGGCAGCATTAGTTGCTGTTTTAATTTGCTTTCTATTGCTGTGATTAAACAGTCACTATAAGCAGCTTGAAGAGGAAAGGGTTTCTTTGACTTGCAGTTCCAGGTCACAGTTCATCACTGAGGGAAATCAGGGCAGAAGCTCAAGTAGAAACTGAAGCAGACACCATGGAGGAACGTTGCTTCCTGGCTCCCTTCCTCTGGCCTGTGCTCGACCAGCTTTTGCACACAACCCTGCACCACCTCCCCAAGGGTGGCACTGCGGCCAGTAGGCGAGAGAGACCCTTCTACATCAATTGGCAGTCAAGAACACACTACAAAGTCACGACCACAGGCCAGTCTGAAAGAGGGAATCTGCGAGTTGAGACGCCCTCAGGCCTCTCTGCTCTGTGTCAAGTTGACAGCCGAAGCTATCTAGGAGACTGCATCGAAATCAAATTCCAATGTGCTTCAGCAAAAGACATCTTAAGTACTGGATATTTGGTACATTATCTTAGAAAAGAACTTAGTGGGGTTTGTAGTTAGAGCTCTCTAAATTTTCCAGTGGGGGGGAAAAACATGTCATAGAAGGAGGATTTGCCTGAGAATCCACTGCCAAGCCGAAGACAATGCAGGCTGACAACTCAGATTCCCGAGCTATCAGCTTGTCCTTTCAGACTTAAAACTCTTCTTTTCAGCTCCAGCTCCATCCTTCTCTGGCTTGGAAGAGACCATTTTCCAGTAATAAGTATTCCTCCTTAATTCAAGCAAAGCGAAATCTCAAATGGAATAGAAAATGCATAGAATTGGCAAGATTGACAAGCTGAGTATGACATTTCCTTATATGGGCTTTTATAAATATCACATGGCCAACTCTGTTGGAGCTGTCTTAGGCTTCTACTTCCTTTTATGTGACAGATAAACCAGATCTCACAGTTCTCTCTGACATGTACTCGCTTCCCTTCCCTTCATCACCTTCTTTTTCTCATTTGTCCCCCCCCCCTCTCTCTCTCCTGCTCTCTGTTGCACTTCCTGTTCTTATTTAATGTCTTCTCAGGCAAGCAGTGTTGAAGTCCCTCATTTAAAACCTGACTGCCCACTATGCTTAATCACAGCAGAGTACAGGGTCATGAAAGAGACTACGGGGTGTCTGAGTGAGGGGAGGGAGTCAAGTCCATCTTCTCCGTTTTCTTCCTTGGCATCACTCCTTGCCTATAAAATGACCAAGGTCACCTCTGACACACACGAAGAAAGGAAACAGGATTGCCAGCTTGCCTTGCAGCTCACTAACTCCAGACCCTGCCTGTACCTCTCTACCCAGGGTCCTGCTTCTTGTCACTAACAAGTGTAAAGGACACAAATGCAAAAGCTTATCAGAGGGAAACCAGAACACATGGTGACCGAAGGGAATGTTTTGGTTGATTTATGTTTCTGGGTAAAAGGGAAAACCAGAGCAGACATTGTTTCGGCCCTTGCAGCTGAAAATGGCCCTCCCTGTTTCCTTTGCTCCCTCCATCTCTCCCTCTTTCTGAGACATAGTCGCTTTCAGCCCACATCGGCCTCTCACTCATTCAGTAGGCAACAATAATAATGAAGTTATGACCATCTTGCCTTCGCTTCCTGAGCACTGGGATTACAGGTGTATAAAACCATGTCTGGTCATATGTGGTGTTGGTGACAGAACCCAGGGCTTCTTGCATGTTAAGCAAACACTCCCACATTATTCAGCCCTTGAAAAATATTTTCATCCATGTGTTTCTGTTTTCATGTTAGGAAGTAAGAAAAGCTACAGAGCATGTTCAGAGCAGAAGTTTTCTTCATTTAACTTATCATTTTGTTTATTCAATGATCATATTCCATGAGTAGAGTGCTGGGGTAGTCCAGTGCTTCACTTTGCAAGTGAGAGAGTGGAAATCCTGTTGGAGAAAGTAAGTCTGAAAGGTCCTTAGGGTCACAGAGTTGGGAGAGTGTAGATCCAACTTCTTTCTTCTAAAATTAGGAAGGAAAATAATCTTGCTTAATTTGAAAGTCCTGAATAGTGTAAATAGAAGGCACGAGTTACCCTGTTTTTCACCTATTTCTCCAAGTCCTAGCTAGAACTGCTCTGACAAAGTAAATGATTGAAGCAATTTTCTGAATCATTTGAGCTAAAACCCCATTGCGCAGCCATAGCCTTTAAATATATGTGGTGTGGCTCTGAAGTGATGTGACCAGTTTCCACAAACCACACAAGAAAACTGGGCATGCCATTATATATTCATAGTGAATGCTCTGAATTTTCCATGAATACAGGGGACAGGAAATCCAGAAATAACCCCCAAACTTGTTTTGAAACTAATTTCTACCTCCACCTTCAATAAACCTTTTGCAAAGGGCCAGTCAAAAGAAGCCAAATTGATTTATCCATACCACCACGATTCTTCTTATCTCTTCTCTTGCGCCTATTTATTTTACTGTCTACTAATTCTAATACCAAAGAAAGTTACAAAAACAAAACAAGTCCAGACGAAAGGGGGATTATAAGGAGATGACAAATGAAAACGGTCTATGTGTGGAGTGAGAGAGACCAATTATAGACCACTGGTCGTGCTGAGTGCACTGCAAGCAGAAGACAGTGCTAGAAGTCGATGATGGCACATCACCTTCGCTCCTCAATGAGGTGTCCAAGTCTGAGCAGCAATGGCATGACCCTGAGTGTGTGTTACAGATGCAGGATCTGAGGCACCATGACAAACCCTAAGGAAAGACAAAGCAAACCATAAAGGCACATGAGAAAAAAGTTAAGAAATACGATAGCATGGTCATTATTTGCATATGACATATTCCCCCCAAAGGCTCACGTGTTTTGGGGGCTAGCTTGTGGTGTTACTGCGAAGTGATTGGAACATGAGGGTGTTACCATTTCAATGCATTAATCTATCAATGAATTTATAACTGAATGTGTTATTAGGAAGTAGGATCTAGTTGGAGGAAGTAGATCACTGTTGGTCTGTCTTGGAAAGGTGTATCTTATCCCTAGTCCCTTTCTACATCTCCATTCTACTTCTTGGCTACATGAGGTGAGCCATGAGCTACATGAGCTTTCTTCTGAAATATCATTCCACCATATATCTGCCTTGCTACAGCCCTAGAAGCAATAGAGTCAGACAATCATGAATTGAAACTTCTGAAACTATGGGCCCAAATAGATCTTGTAGAATTAGATGTCCATTTTTACTAGAGTTCTAGAACTTTAGGGGACAAAGATCTTCAGAAGCCTACTAGTCCAATCTCTTCATTTTACTCCAAAAAAGACTGAAACCCAGAAAGGGGAATTGACTTGCAAAATTTATTCAACTAGTAAGTTCCAGAAGTATGGAGAAAAACTTGGTTTTCCAAGTCCTAATCTGGAGTTAGACTCAGCATGCTCTATATCAGTGCCACATACATGTCAATGTGTATGCAAATGACTTTGGGATCTTTTGCAAAAAGCTACTAGTAAGGAGAAGTAACATTGATTAATTAGATAGGCAGCTTTTCACCTCAAGGGGAGGGAAATAAATAAAATTTCTGTCCTCTTAGTTTACAATTGAACATCAGGTGATGGGACTTCCTCTGTTAGTTTGCCCCAATCTCACTGGCCCTGTGGAGTCTTCCCAGATGGGGTGGCTGTGGCTGTCAGCATTTTCAAGATTTCAGAGTGAGTGCATGTGAGGTAACAAGAGAAGGCAGCTGTGCTGATGATGGAGAGGAAGTAGCATTTGCAGCTACGTCTTCTGGTAAATTCTCAGGATAAGGAGAAATAAGAACAATCTAAGAAGGAAATCCTAGCCCACCTGGCACTCCATTTCCCAAGGCCACTAGGAAGGATCAATTTCACCCCAAGTGCTTATTTTCCTTTTTCTGTTCTTCCATCTTTGGGATCAGATCAAGTTTGCCTTACCACCTCTTAGTGTTTGGCCATAGTCTCAGTTTTTAAAAAGAGCTAAAAGGAGATAGAAGAAGGGGGTTACCAGAAAGCAAGATTATGTTCTGTAAGAAGAGTATGCCATTGGAATGACATCTTGTGCCTCTGTCTTAAAAGATGGGGAGGAAAAAAACTTTCTCAATACTTCACTTCTGATTACCAAAATTATACAGGGACTCCTCTCTACCATTAACCAGTTCTCCACTGGACACCAACTGGGTGTTCTCTGCTTCAGCTCAATTATGACATTATCTACCTGGATATAGTATCAGATTACATGAGCTGATGCCTCAGTTCCACAACATTACACCCACCACTTCAGGTGCTAGTCACAAGTAATAGCTTATCCCCTGTTACAAATTGGGAAGTCCCTGCCTGTTTGATACAGTGATGTAATAGTGGCACAGACATTGTGGGACTAACAACCACTGTCTGATGGGATGGAAGCCATGCCTGATACTGCTCAGGTGGCTAAGTACCTGAGACCAGATAGGACATAGACCTAGGGGAAAACTAAATACTATTGTTCTGCTTAGGAAACATAGCAATAAAATGACTCATAGATCAGTATTTCACTCTGATATCATCAGAGTAACTTCCTCTTGCAGTAGATGGTGACTAACACAGAGATCCACAACTGGACAATGTGCAGAGAGTGAGAAATTTTGAAACACTAAGCCCTAAATTGGATATCTTCATCACCTCTCTCTCCTCAGGGCTCAGGGAGCTATGTGGAAGAGGAAGCAGAAAGATTGTAAGAGCCAGAGGGGATGGATGACACCAAGGAAAAAGTATATTCCAGACACGACAGGACTGATGCACATATAAACTCACAGAGACTGTGGCAACATGCACAAAACCTACGCAGGTCCAAGCCATATGGAGTCCTAGTGCTGAGAGGGGGAAGTGGACATAATCTCCTGTCCCTAACCAAAAAAAAAAATACCTTCAATTGACAACCACTTTCAAAGGAAAAACCAGTTTTCTCCAATGGAGTCTCAGTGGGTGTATAAACCAAATTAATTGGGAAGACCCGTGGCCAGTAGTAGATGGCCAACACAAAATGAACTCAGTGGTGTTTTGAGGACTTTTTTTGTGTGTCATATTGCTTTAGGCATTTTTGTTTTATCTCATTGGTCTTTTGCTTGTATATTATGCTTTCCAATTTTGTCTCTTTATGGGTTTTGTTTCCCTCTAGTTTGCTCTTTCTGTGTGTTTCTTGTGCTTTTTCACTTTTAAAAATCATTCTTCTTTTTTTTTGGTTTATTTGCCTGTTTGTTTTTTAGAGAGAAAAAGAAAATGTGGGGTTGATGAGTGGGAATATGGGGAAGATCTAGGAGGAGATGTGGGAGGGGAACTGTGATCAGAATATATTGTAGGAATTTTCAATAGAAATAAATACATTGAAGAGTCCCATTACTCCATTCTCAGGTTTTGAATAAGCTAGAAAAGTCAGTAGAACCAGAGAGGGTCAGTGAGATGACTCAGCAGATAAATGCTCTTGCTGCCAAGCTTGATGAGGTGTGTGCAGTCACCAAGACCCACATGGCCCAAGGAGAGATCTGACTCTTTCAGGCTGTCCTATGACTGTCACATGGGTGTCATGGCATGCCCATACCCACAAACTAAGAAACCAGCATGCACACACACACACACACACACACACACACACACACACACACACACAACTAATGAGAACTAGCACTCAAAGTTGTCCTCTGATATCCATGTACATGGGCCCATACTCTCAAAGACAAATACATCATACACACATATCATACAGAAACATACTGCTTGATAACAAGACAAACAAGACAGTTGTGTACCTTGAACTGTTGAAGGGGCCCCTGGCAGTAGGATCAGGATCCATCCCTGGTGCATTCGCTGTCTTTTTGGAGCCCACTCCCTATGGTGGGACACCTTGCACAGCCTTGATGCATGGGGAGGGGCTTGGACCTGCCTCAACTGAATGTACCAGGCTCTGCTGACTCCCCATGGGAGGCCTTATCTTGTTGGAGGAGGGAATGGGCGGGGGTAGGCTTGGTGGGGGGGAAGGATGGAAGGAGGGAAGAGAGGGGGATCTGTGGTTGGTATTTAAAGTGTTTAAAAAATTTCTTAATAAAAAACAAAACAAAAACAAAAGAAAAAAAGAGAGGGGATTTAAAGATGGCTCAGAGGTTAAGAGAACTTGTTATTTTTGTAGAGGATCTAGCACCCACATGATAGTTCTCAGCACCCACATGACAGCTCACACTTGTTTGTAACTCTGGTTCCAGGGGATCTAATGCTCTCTTCTGACCTTTGAGGGTACCAGGCACACATACATGGTGCTCATACTTACCAGCAGGCAAAATACCCATACACTTAAAATCAATAAATAAATCTAAAAATACGTTTAAAAAGATACAGATGAAGAAGAACATAGCACAAGGCCTGAAAATGTCTGAAATGCAGTGACTTTGATCTTCATTGAGTTTATATATGCTTGCCAACTGGGAAACTCTGAATTCTGCCTTTGTGAGTGTGTGTGTGTGTGTGTGTGTGTGTGTGTGTGTGTGTGTGTGTGTAAAATATTGCACAGACAAAATTGATTACACCATTGTCATTGATCAACTCAGCCTTCAGTTCTTCTTCCCTCTTGGGAGACTGAAAGATGAGCTTATGTTTTAATCCTCTCATCATGTGGTTGGTTTCCCTAGCAACCAGGCCCTTTAACCATCAGTCATCTTGCTAACATACAAAAAATATACTTATCTCTTTGGAGATTCCAAGCATTTTTGGAGTTATATGCTAGGAGCCTGGTACATACTTTTATTATTTCATAATTTCACATCTTTAAATCTTAAGGAAACATCTGTAATACCTGCATGAGTCATAATTCCTACAAAATAAACCACTGCAATCTTGCACAACAGATTTTGAGGATCAGAATTCAGAGCTTTGCTGAGTACTTTGTGATGAATAGGATGGTATGGAAAATTCAAGATGGTGTCATTATGTTCCCATGTCTGATGCCTTTGTGGAGATGGCTATAAGATTGGATTTGGCTGAGACTATATTCTTAGAACAATTCAGTTTCTTACATAGAACTTGGCTTCCCTCACATGGATTATCTTAGAAGAAGCAGGATAGCTTTTTATAACCTAACAACTGCCATATTGTGTTGGTTGAATTAGTTACAAACTCACCTTGATAGAAAGGGAAAGAATATTGACCTTGTTTCTGAATGCAATGAACAGTAATGAATAATAATAGAATGAATGAATGAGGCTATTTAATAAAACTCTATGGTGTCTAATAGCTATATAATACTGTGGGAACCCTAGATTGTAACAACTATATTGCCAAAGACCTCTTTTTCCAATGTAATTTGGAGTCCACACAAAATTACAAGCTTTCATGTTTTTGTAACCTTGGCCTACCTAATTGTATGTATGTTTAGTGTTAGAAACAGTTTTGGGGCGGAGGAGGTTACATCTAAGAACCTGGCACATAGAACAAGGATAGTCAAGGATGCTCAGGGAATATGATGGACTTTTACTTATTGACTTAGTTAGATAAATCAATCCACAAAATTGATTATATTATACCATCCATCTCATTTTAGGCCTTCACTGTAAATAATTTGACAACTACATTGCTTGGGCTTATAAAGGATATTGCTATTTTTTTTAAACCAAGAAATGAGGCTACATAAACACCAAACACACACACACACACACACACACACACACACACACACACACACACACACACAGGATAGCCCTTTTTTTTAAAATACCATTTGTGAG